ATTTGGTGATTTTGTTCTTTTTCAATAGTGAATTTAATTGTTGGTTCTTTATTATTCAGATAAGATAAAAATTCATCAAGTTTTTGTTCGCCATGAGTGTAAATGGAGAATACGTCATCAATATAACGCCACCAAATTATTGGTTTAAATTTGTAATAATTAATGAAAGTTGATTCAAAATTTTCCGTAAATAAATTACTGACAAATGGGGATAGTGGTGACCCCATAGCCATTCCAAAATTTTGTTGATAAAAATTGTCATTGTATTGAAAGTAAGTTGACTTTACACATATTGTTAAAAGTTCAATAATGGTGTTAATGCTTAGTTGTGTGCGTTCTTTAAGATTGGTGTCATTTTGTAATTTTTGTTTAATGATATTTAAAGTTTTATCAACAGGAACGGCAGTATTAATAATCGTGAAATAATAATTAATAATAATTCTTAAAAATAATAATCCGCCTCAACAATATAAAACTTATCTACAACTTATGTTTTTTTTGGTTTAGAATGCTCTCACCTATCCACCAAACACCTGCGCCCCATCAAGCTGGGCACCATTTGGACAGGCCGCCACCATACGCGGAAAATGATCTTCGACCTCCTGAGGCGTCCCAGCCTGAAGCAGCGTCTCCAGCGTCCAGCAGCAGCGACTCTGGCAGCGACTCGAACGAGTCAGATAGCGAGTCGAGTAGCGACGACTCGCTGGCCGATGTACAGCCGACTCCTGCCCAAAAAGTCGAAGAACCCGCAAAAATTCCCGAAGAAAAATTGGCCATTGGAGTGCCAAGTGCTGTGCCTTCCTCTCCTCAACAGCGCACCGAAGAAGAAACAGGAAAGATGCGCTGGAATTTGGCCAGTTTTGTTAACAGGTAAGCAACAGGTTTGGATAGATTGGAGACGATGTTGGGGATGATTAAGGAATGAAATGCGCAAATTTGCCTGTTTTCCGAGTCAGGAAGATCAAGGAAATCGATTATCGCTATCTTATTCAAATATTAATCCATGGTGACACATAAATTATTATTTTTTGGTTTATTAGTGAGTTCGGCATATAAGCATTCGTCATTCGACTGCTTAATTGCTTTTCACTGTTATGTAAAACGATATTGACGAGAGCAGTTACATGGATTATTACATTTGAAAAGTTTCTTTTTTACTTTTCAAATGAGGAGGTGCCAAGCAAAACCCCACAAGTCCGCCAAATTTTATAGTATAATTTTCAGTTTGTCCTTGTATATTTTTTAGTAATTTATACTTTGACTGAAATGTAAATCACGCACCCGGTATTGAAATCGTATAGTACTTAATAGAACTACTACTATACATTAGGCCTGGGTAACTCAATGAATTTTTAGGAGTTAGCGCAGTGCCACGCAAATGGCTTGGTGCGCCAACCCAACGCACCGGCGCAGTAACTCAGTTCCGTTGCAGGGAAAATGTTGATGACTTTTTTTTTATCAATTTATCAATTATATTTTAACAATTTCTTCAGAATTTTCCAGTTTTAGCAAAGTTACTCTTTTTTCTAAATGCACTTAAAAATACTGACAATCTTCAGATCTTTTTTGCGAAACTTTATGAAATAAAATTTATTAGAACACTGCCTCCTACCACTGAACAATCGCCTCCTTTGTCGCTTTGTAAAAAGTTTAGAAATCCCTTTCCAGCTTCGAATTTAAGACGAACGAATCAAAAAGCGAACTGAATAAGCGAAAGTTTATAATAACTTATTTGGAAAACTCGTCACTTCCATTCCTCTGAAAACTGTAGTTTGTAAAAAAAATGTTTTTTTAATTTTGATTGAATTTTTTTCGCTCTGGTTTCTATTCAAAATCGCTCGATTTTTTAGAGTTTTATTTAAAAATACTCACGATCTGGATGTATTTTTCGCGAAAAATTACAAGATATATTTATACCTTTGTAGGAATTTCTTTTTTCGGAGTCAAATTCGGGACAAAAGCGAAAATAAATTTATCCCGTTTTTACCCGAAAACTATCAAGGTTTTCGCAAAAACCGATCCCAAAACTAAAAGTGTTTAAACAAAAACGCAAAAAAATATAATTTTCTGATGATTTTCTTTTCTGACAATAATGGGGTCTGTGCAGTCAAAAATGACAAAATTTAGTTTGCTAGAAAATTCGCCTCATCGATTTGCAGATAACTTTAGAAAACCCTTTTCAGCTTCGAATTTGGCACAAAAACCAAATTATTTTATTCAGTTTTTATATTATTTTCTTTCCTGGGTTCTAGTCACAGTGTGAAACAAATTTTTTTCTTTGTCTTTCGTTTATGTTGTCGAATATGAAATAAACGATATACAAAAAAAAACTTTTCGCACTGTGACGAGCCCAGGAAAGAAAATAATATACAATTACACGCACTCAGCAAAATAAATAAAAATTTATTCAGTTTTTTGCCGAAAGCAGATAAGATTATCTTGAAAAAACGGCCAGAGGTTTCAAATTTCTTTAAAATTTCAGGTCATTCCAGTTTTAGCAAAGTTTCTATTAAACAATTCTTGCTACGCAAAAAACGTATTATTTTTAGTTTTACTTAAAATACTGACAATCTTCAGGTATTTTCTGTGAAAATTATAAAATAATTTTTTTTGGAACACGGCTCCTGAACAGCTTTGTAATTTTTTTTCTGAAACGTTTTGCAGCTTCGAATTTTGGACAAAACCCTAATAAATGTTTCTAGATTTTTTCTCAAAAATATTTCCCCGAACAGAACAAGTGAAAGTTTATAATCATTTATTCGGAAAACTCGTCACTTTTGTCGCTCTGAATAATTTGGTTTATTTAAATTCCGGTTTCTTTACTTTTAAGTCAATCTTTCTAAACAAAACTCTCTAAACAGAACAACGCGTTTTTCTCTGTAACTGTAAAATACTGGCAAACTGAGAGTCTTATGCAAAAAGTTAAAAGATGGATTGTATAAGAAGTCGTCGTCTTTACAGTTTGGTCTTCTTTATCGTCTTTTTCGAATACCCGTTTTACTTTTGAATTTGCGACAAAATCGACAAAATTTGGTTTTTCTCAAAAAACGATTAGAGAAAGCAAGAGCAACATACAATATATGGACAACTCGTCACCCTCATAGCTCTGAATTTTTTTCTTCAAAATGGCCCGATTTTCCCGTTTTAGACCAAATAGTTTCAGTAATCGTATGCACAAAAGCAATACGTTGTTTTTATTGTTAGATGTTAAAATTCCGTCATCGGCCATGAGTTATAACCCATTAACCAATGCGGTAAAACTCATTAACTCAGAGAGCGAAAACAACTCAATAGCACAACTCAGCAGAGTGTTACTCAGGCCTACTATACATCGCATTAAAAGTTTTTACATGTGGAGGTACGAATAAAATCTTCAAACTTGTGGGGTTTTGTTCAAAACACTATTTTGGTTAAATAAGTAACTATAGGAAGTTTAATAATCAAGTTCAGTAAAACTATGTTTAATTATGTGTGCTTTATATATATTTCGTAAACCAAGTACTTATACAAAAATATAAGCTAGTTCTGTTTAAGATGGGGAAGACCTATCATCTTCTAAGCGGCATGAGTCTTCCTCTTGTTCTTCCTCTGGAACAGTGAGAACATTTTCGCCAGTTACAATTTTTGTGTATCACAAAAAGCTTTCATATTCTTTCCAGTTTTGGCATTACGGGATACATAATCTTTTCTGAGCAACATTGAATGAAGGAGAGGAATCTTGTTTTGTTGAGAAACTGTTTTCCCAATTCCAACCTCTCTTGAGCAGGGTTTGCAAATTGTTGGCACGACCCTTTTTTGAAACTCATTTTTCAATAAAAATTATTTTCTTATCACTTATTTTATCCAGTTTTTGCAAACAGGGTTGAAGCCTTTTGGTATTCTTCAAACCTCAATGTTTTCCAAGTTTTCGAGCAAAAATAATAGCAATTAATAAATATTAGGCTGATGCAAATATGCTGCGTAATAAAAAAAATAATAAGCTACAAGAAGTGTCAAGCAATGGGTCTTGGAGGAATGAGGAATCTTGTTTTGTTGAGAAACTGTTTTCCGAATTCCAACCTCTCTTGAGCAGGCTTTGCTTTGTAAGATTTGGCTCAAGACAAAAATAAATTGTTGGCACGACCCTTTTTTGAAACTCATTTTTCAATAAAAATTATTTTCTTATCACTTATTTTATCCAGTTTTTGCAAACAGGGTTGAAGCCGTTTGGTATTCTTCAAACCTCAATGTTTTCCAAGTGTGCGAGCAAAAATAATAGCAATTAATAAATATTAGGCTGATGCAAATATGCTGCGTAATAAAAAAAATAAATAATAGCAGCAAGAAGTGTCAAGCAATGGGCCATTGAAGGGTTGATACAACGCAAATAATCGATAAGATTAAGGATCAGCCGTTAACTCCAATTTATAAATGTTGTGGCTTTTGGGGTTTTGTTTAGAACCTCCTCAAATAGTAGCAAGTCATCAATAAACTTAAGTAAAGTTGTAAAGCGTAAAAATTTGTGCCTAGATAGTTGAAACTTAGTCCCCATGTAAAGGTTTGGGTGAAAAAATGTAGTTTTCATGCCGATTGCCGTAGATAATGTAGTTGTTTATAAGTTTCACAAGTTTAGACACTTACTCTTTTTTTTTTTCAGTCAAAATGATTTGGGTCGTTCGCAAACATCACCACTTACTTCGGGTGGCAAACAGACGGGCGATCAGCGCTCAAGCCAGGACTTGCAGAAGCGCCCGCTCGGGCTGGCCGTCGATTCACTGGAATATGCCCATATTCTCGCGCGTATTGTATTAGAATCAAGACAGTTTAGAGACTTGGCCAAGCTGCCAATGTTGCCCCCATTGAGCCCCAAGTTGGATAGCGACAATGAGAAAAAGCTAGCCGCAAAAGACAGGCAGCTAAGGTAAGACCGGTGATTGAATAACAGAAAGCAAAGTTTGCAATTGGATATTTGCTTCATAGGAAAAAGCCCAAGCGGTCCAGGCATGCGACAGGCGGCGATAGCGACTCGAGTAGCGACAGCGATGTGGAAAAGTCCTCACATATACACAGCGCACTCGCCAATGCCCCCAATCCGGTGGTTAGGCCGAGTCCACGTACCAAATTTGCAGAACCCGCCAGCGATAATGGCGAAGTCCCACCGCCCCTTGCAAGGATAGCTGAACCCTCAAGGTGCTTATTTACACATTTTTTAATTCGATCTATCTATTCCGGATCAGACGTTTGTTTCAAATTATTGACGATTTGTTTTACTGTTGTAGAGTGCCTCCAAATACAGCAGCATGCCTTTCCAAAGCCAAGGGTGTTGGCTCCGATTCCGAATCGGACCATCCTAGAGAAGAAATGATGCCGCCCATTGTTCCTGCCAAACCTGCGGCAGAACCAGATAAACCGACCAAAGCTAAAGGTAGAGGGCGACCGAGAAAAGTGCGGCCGGAGGGCAGCGAGGGCGACGCACCAAAGAAGCAGCGAGGCAGACCGCCCGGCAGTGGCACAGCCGAAGGAAAGAAAAGCGGAAAAAGGTGAGTTGAAGAAGGAGCACAGTGTCTCTAACGTTTTTGAAATACTGATAGATTTTTTAACCCCATTCTTGCAGTCTACCATTGACCAGTTTCTTATCGTGGTATAGGTGCGTCTTTCTCTTAGATGTCTCAATGTTTTCTTGGACCCGCTGTATGATCTTCCTACACATTGTTCTTTACCTTGATCGAGTCTGTTATTGGTCAATTCCCATGCATGTCTAGACCAACATGTTTACATACGCACGCTGAATGTCATAGTATTTACAAGAATAGACCTTGTCACCTCGCAATACTCATTAATACTCAGGATGATTCAAAAATGGCATTATAGAAGGGTGGTGGGTACATACACCGAGCCCTAACAACCATATGTTCAGACGATGTCCAAATGTGTAAATTTACGTTCAATGCATATATTTTTTGTTCTTCTGAAAAATGCATTCATAATGTCTTTTCGCAACATTCTATGTAACAAACTAAGAAAAATACAACAAACTCACTGACAAATAAATGTTCGGACGCACTTAAAAAACAACTAACTTAAGGCGCAATTTAATAAGAAGTAACATCACATTTCGCTGCGATAGGGTGTTTTCACTTTTTTTTTAATGTTGATATATAAAAAGTAGGCAACATGGCTATGGCAAACATTACATTGAGATAATTTTTTTTTGCAAAAAAAGTCCATAATAATTTTAAAGCGAATTTAAATTCAAATCAGATATTTTCCGCCAAAAACGCCGAATCCGTATCGTCGGTTGCTTATCCCGATTGTGACGTAGCAGGTCATATCAAGAAAGTGTCTCGTGTTTATTTTGTTTGGTTTCGCAGCTTTGTTTTATTATATAAGTTATTGAGATTATCATTATTTTATTGATTATTATTATTGTCTTGCATAATGGAAAATAGTGACATTTATGGATCACAAAATAAGTGGTGTTTTGTGCCAGGATGCAAGAATACCTCATAAGTGCTCCAAACAAACTCTTTCTAACCGTTCCTCATGATTATGCATGTAAAATTTTATGGTTCAAAGCAGCCAGACGTGATGTTCCTAAATTAAAATCAATATTTTTTTACAAACTTCTTGTTGGGTATTTCGCCTCAAAAATGTTTGTTATTAATTATTAATTAATTAAATTAATTATCAGAGCGAATTTTCATATACTGTATTGTAACGGAAATGGCCTGGGGTACTCACCTTTGGAATGGGGGATCGAAATTCATGGTATTTCAGTAAATGGGAGCCCCATTTGGGCCCCATTTACTGTCAAATATGACACTGACAAGCGGGAAGTTTCGCACCTGTTCTGGAGATTTCTAGAACTATCTGGAATACCTGGAGAAAAGGATATAAGCGACGACGAGAACCAGACGGGGAAGTGAAGTGACAGGAGCGACCAAGTGCAGAAGAAGTTAAACTCCGGGAGCCGGAAACGCGTGTTTTCCGTGTGTTATTGTTATTGTTAGTGAAGTTGACGGTAACTTTGAAGTTAGTTTGTTCCTGTTCCGTAGTTAAAGTTGTACCGAGTG